AAGTGGAATTTGGAGTCGGTTCCACTTTAAATCTTACTACATGAAATAGAAAGCTGTACTTTCACTTCTGTCTATAACAGCGACATCTACTAATTTAATTTAATTATTTAAATGTTGTATGTTCCATTCATGGTATGCACAACTTAATGTATAACACTTATTTAAAAACCATGTCTCTATAAACACACCATACCCGAAAAGGAGTAGGGAGAAGAAAATAATCTTATATTTCCTGCCCCTTTCTCAACAAAAAAAAGAAATAGAAATAGATGGTCTGTACTTCATATTTTCTTATTCACAGCCAGTCATAACAGTATCGTAGAAAAATGAGAGAAACACAATTTAAGAGTAAATGTAACCAAAAGTGATGTCATCAGTGTGCGACAGACCTTTTCTCAGTGCTGTCAGAGCCCTTGGAGGTGGAGGATGACCTCACAGGAGAGTCTTCATTCTTCTTCTCCTTCTCCTCCGGCTTCCCCTCTGCACCGTCTGCAAGACAACGCACAAAACAAAATGTACGCCGCACCCATTGTTTTCTATCAAAGAGCTTTGATCGATGTCAATGCTGTCCGCACAAAGTAAAACATACACAAGCAACACACCGCCTCTTACCCAGCAGTTTCTTCCAGGACTTGATGAGAACTTTGGCCAGAGTCTGAACCTCTTCCTCTGAACTGTGTTTCCTCACCGCGTTCACAGACATCCCCACTCTGGTGGACTGCAGTGGTTAAAATTGTGGAAATAAAAATTATATAAATGTTTTCCCATCTAAAACGCCATCTATTGTGTGTTCTCCAGTGGGCGTGAATTAAAGATATTGGTAGTACCAGTTGATTGCTCAAACAAACTATGTCAACTTTGCTGAAAGTCCCATCCGTTTAATCATCACATTAATACAGCGTCAAAGCAGAGCGTCTGAATTCATGGCGGTATTAAAAAACATACTGCCTAAATGTTTTAAACACCCTGGTTTATCGCAAGTCCCCACTTCCTATTGCAATTTTGATTGTGCAGAATGTCCATGCCCTAATTTAACAGACATGTGCAGTGACAACTATTCCTGTGTCAGCTGTGTCAGACTATAGGTGCACTTGATGTTGATGGGGACATGGCAGAGGGGTGGAGTTATTTACCTGCAGCGTCTCTAGAGACATCTTGATGTTCTTCAGTTCCCTCAGCAGGTCGAGAGCTCCGTCCTGTAGACAACAGAAAACATTCAAATCACATTTTTACCCTGTATGTCTGAGGTCAACTCACCACATGTACACTTCAGAGAGTGAACACCTGTGTGTCTGACAACGCATGTTTAACAAGACAGACAGATCTGTTTCAGTGGACATTCATTTATCCAGTAGAGTCAAGGTGGCCTTTTCTACTGCATGAGAAGATTCATGGCTTCTTCCCAGACTAACACCCACAGCTGTCACCCACACGCCCCGAGACAGTCGTTCAGTCTAAAACAAAGGTTACCAAGAGAATGATGGGACCAGGTCAGGAGATTTAATTTAAGGGACTTCAATTTGTCAATTAATGAGGACCGGTCCATACCTGACACCAGAAAGTTCATATTTGGGGAAATTAACACAAAGCCTTTAGCTCTGGAGAAAAAGGGAGACGGTAGCTTTATCTTATTTGAAATCCGTTATTATAATGCTATACTGAAAATGCTTAACATTTTAGAACCGGAGAGTGTCCAGGAGGAGGAGTCCATAGTTGTGCTTTCTTTGCCAAATGAGAGGGTACTGCATGGAAAAAAGTAGGATGTGAAACTAAAAGACATGCACGGATAAAAGGAACAACATAATTATTAGAGACAAAGACAGACAGTGAGGAGGAAAACACATTTAAGCAGAAGAGGCTGTTGTATTATTCATGTGTCTACTTCCAAATCCCACTGTGATGTTTAAGACAAAACATCTCTGTGCAAACTGTTGCTGTGAGACTATTTCGAGAAAGATAAAAGAAAAAAAGCAATACATTTACACAAATCTGCTGAGAATAGGGTAAACAAGTATTATCATTAATGTGTAATCATTGAGAATTTTCTGTAAACCCTGTTCCCACTGCTCAAATGTAGCCCCCTAATCCACAGTTTGTTTACCAACAACCTCTATAGAGCTGGTAAAGAAGTGTACCCGTTGCAATGTCTCATAAAACACTAAAAGATGGGAAAACCATGATGGAAACCCCACAGTATATGGCACTGCCCCATGTGTTCTCCTATCAGAGGGCAGCCTGCCAGCCCTTTATCATGTGTTATGTACCAAAAGGGCACATTAGAGGCGTTTTTTATTGAATAAGAAATTTTCCCTTCTGCCCCCAAACACCTGTTGAAGTATTCCCAGCTCTACGTAGCTTTTAACCTCCTTTGCTCTATCGTTTTAATCCTCTGGTTTAACACAGATTAAATGGCTGTGCCGCCACAGTTAGCCATTCAATACAAACATGCTCTGCAAAGCTGGCACCAAATGGAAAGTTAGCAGCTAGCTGTGGAAAACATTGGAACAAGTTTCCAAACCAGAGCCAAAATAATATTGGAAGTGACGGCTAGATATTTGGAAACATATCCTCAACCCCGACATACTGACGGTTTGGTCAGCATTGGTATTAATCGAGGTTTTGGAAATACAAACATTGGACAGTGCACAAACAATGAGACATCTTCTTTCCACTGTTTAAACTTTTGAAACTAAAAACATTTGTTTATTCATATTGTGGATTTTTCAATGAGGTTGAACAATTCAATGTTCTTTTAAAAACAAATCAAACACACATTCATTTTAAATGTTTGCAGAGGGGATCTTTGTAATCATCCAAAAAGTCTCCATTTAATTTAACATAGATGAAATTGCTTTGAACTTTGAACTCAAATACTGCATGCTCTTTTCAACTCAACAGAGTCCCAAGGCACATGTTCAGTTATCCTACGCTCCACTGATTGGATTTTCCCAATGTAAAAACAAAATGTTTCAAGTACAAACTAATTATATTATAACGAGTTGTATTATTTTCTGTTGTAGCTCAGCAATCTAATAATGCCACCATATATAGACAATTGACTCAAGGTGTGGTGGATTTAATTGGCAGCTTTTTGACCAATCGCTGCAGTGATTTATCACCAAAAACAGAAGCAGCGGCATAGTTGTGACTGAGATTATCAGCAAACATTTAAGTCCTCCACAGGTCAGTGAGCAGAGTTTAACAATGTGTTTCCAGAATTGTCCCTCTCAGCAGTTAAATGTAGGGATCACCACCTGATCGCGTGTTTTGTGCTGATGCAGCAGCTGTTTTGCACTCACCGTGTTCTTCTTGTGCACCATTTTATCCAGCTTTTTAGCAATGTACTCCACTTCTTGGTTTTTAGCCATTTTGAGCGGATTTCTCTCCGTCAGTTCTCCTCCTCTGCTGCCGTGAGAAACCCCATCGATGGACGAGAAACTCTGCCAGTTTCTCTCTCTTTGCTTCTCTTTACGCAGTCTGTCTCCTCTCCCAGCTGCTGCTCGTTTGTTGTTGTGTGTCACTGTGGGACGCTGGGAGTTGTAGTTTCATTTGTTTTCTCCCAAATTCAGCCTGGATCAACTTTGCCAAAACTTTAAAGGAGACTCTGCAGCCAGTAATGTAGCCAGAGGGGACTTCCTGGAAGGGCATCCGATGTCCTCAGGTAGACTCTTCATTTATCATTTATCATTCATTATTAAAACATATGATGATAACCTAGTCTATATTGTTGGATGCAGTTTGGAGAATAGATGATCCATCATGATCCTATGGGTTAATCATAAACATGATTAACATGGAGATCTAACTATATAATCATAATTCAATCTGTATTCAGATCTTTATCACACTGACGTTGTTTGGCATCAAAACGCTCCTGTTCATTTAACTGCTTGTCAGGATGAAGGTCAGGAGCTGCCAGTAAAACCCCGAATGAATAGCCTGATGCACTCACTGTCTCCTCCCACTAGATGTCAGTGTTGCTAAGTTATATTGTACTTGGCGCAGTAATGTTGACAGCTTGCAGTTAGTTTGTGTGAATATGTGTGTGTAAGTTTATGTTCTTATTAGAGAGCAAATGCTGTAGAGACACCATTTTTTTTTGGGAAGCTATTTCATCAAGTGTTTTCTCTAAGTTATTTCACTGCAGTTTAGTCAGTAAGTAATAAGGCTGTGGACAGTTATTTCGAATTTTGATAGTTGGAAATAACTGAAAAGTTTTTTTTTTTTACCTTATTTGAAAACGTTGAACCCTCTTGACATCTTTACAATTAAAATACATCTTTATCTTCTAAGTCTTCATCAAACCCAAGTTAAAAAACACAAGGACGCAATTTAAAATAGACAAACTGTAATATAACATCTGATCGAGTGGATTAGACTTTTAATAAATAAAGATAACCACTTTATTATGTAAAACAAATAAAGAAACAATTTAAAGTCAAATCAAATAAACATAATTTGGTTATTTTGTCCGTATCTCTAACTGTGTGTGTCTTGAGTTTGTAAGGCATATCTTCTGATTTGATCAGGCTTATCAAGTCAATATTAAAAGGTTATTAAAGGGATAACTGATACTATGCTATCAACGGAAACCTCTTGAACAGTGGTATCTGTTGGGGTAGGATTGGATAGGTAAGAACAAATAAAGTATTTCTGCTAAAACAAATTGAACTTGTAAAACACTTTATTTTAGTTATATTATAGTCAGTTTGGTCTTGAGACTGCAAATGTTAAACCCTTCAATTTGGGATGGGATTTTAGAAAGAGGTGAGTTTACAGACCTCTGTGACTCATTACCCTTCTCTTCTTGAGGCTCAAGGCTTTAAAAACCATATTGGCAAAACACGCCCAAATATCTGACCAAACTGTGGACTGGCACCATGCATTGTGGGTAACATAGCCACCACATTTTTACAAGTAGAACGTGTGGAATATAACAAATATTTCTATGGTTGTTTGGAAGCGGTTATTTCGGGTCTAAAAAGGGAAGCCAATGTGAAAGTGGCGTTTTAAACCTGCATTCCTTATAATGGCCACTAGGGGGAGACTCCACTGATCACAAGAAGTCCAATTTTATTGAAGTAAAAAATGATTACCCTCTTTCCTAGGTGACTTACCACCCCAATAAACTGATTCCAAATGAGTTTATGGTCTCAATTGCTTGTGTTGATTTGTAGCAACGATGAGCAAATAGAAAAGAAAGTGTCCCGTACTTGTCATCGAATACAGATCACATTCCTAAACAAACATCCCAACAGTGCGTTTCAGCTGCAGCTCCACAAAGCCTACCGTAGCGGTCCTACTCTAAATCTAAATCAGACTCTCCTCTCCGCATTCCAGACGAGTAAATAATTCTTGGAGAAACTTTTTTTTGTGGTCTCATGAATTCTTGCTGCTTTATGTCTGCAGCCAAGAACCTCCTCCAGCTGAGGAGCCGCAGAGCAGAGCTGGCAGCTACATCAACAGCTGCTGGGTGAGATAGCTACCAGTGTGTGTGTGTGTGTGTGTGTGTGTGTGTGTGTGTGTGTGTGTGTGTGTGTGTGTGTGTGTGTGTGTGTGTGTGTGTGTGTGTGTGTGTGAGATAGTGTGTGTGTGTGTGTGTGTG